TTAAAACCTCAGCCAAAAATTCAGGCTTATATCAGGCCTTCAAGAATCTACTTTATGAGAGGGAAAAGAAAAGAAAAAACTCTGAGATCTGTCAGAGACTGAGCTGAACACAAGCACACACACAGCTGGCACATCTGTTATAGGTGAGCTTATAGCTAATGTCCGAACGGTAGGTGCACTGGCTGTCGGAATGAATTAACATGGACTGCACAAATGATCCAGCTGTAAAATTCATGCAAATGACACAAGGCAAAAAGTTCCCTTTGCTTTCTGTTTGAGTAGACCTTCATCAAAAACAATGAAATGCCAGAAAAACCTAGGGAGAAAAGACAGTTTAACTGGATGGCAATGGCTGCCATATGACATCATCTGACACATTTTCTCTAAAATTCTGCTAAAATGGCTTGTAAACAACAGGAAATCATATATTTGCTTTTAATTTTAATAGGACAAAAAATATTAATTCAATAAGAAATCCCACCTGCAAGTTGCTTCATTTGCTATAACTTTAGTGTTGTCATAACATTTACTGTTTATCTACACACAAACACAAGATTTGAAAATACTATACTAAACTACAGTATTTTTATTCTGGATGGACAGTACTGCCCCTCAGACGTCTCCCATCTTACAGACATTCTTCCAACACTTGCTGTTTTCCTCAGGATTTATGCCTTGTCATTGTTAGACATAAAGAGTTTAAAGTGATGGATCTGGGTGTATATTACCTATGCTGCACTTGTCAAATGTGATCTTGCCAACCTGTATTTGTTGATGAAAGGCCGGCGCTGACAGAGGGAAGTAAATCTAATTCCTGCTCAAATTGAGGAGTCTGTCAGGGCAAAGCAGAGCTGACACAGTCACAGGAAGAAAAAAAAAACATGAGATGCACTTCCAGGCAGAGAGAGCATGCTGGATTTGTTTGTCCTTTTAATAAATCTGACAGACGCATGCTGCAAACAAGCATGCATACAAGCATGTGAATGCAAATGTTCATAAAGCTCTGTTTGTATGTTTTAGTAAACATACAGACATGCAGACATTTAAGTGCTTTCAATTTTTAACTGAACATCAACACTGTCAGGTTGTATTAGACACATACATGTGTTTCTCTGTTTGTATATATACTTTACATTTGCTAAACCAAATAAAACTTCTGAAAAATAGAGATTTGACTATTAAGATATAAGCATCTTCAATTTGGAAGGTCTGAAATGAAATGCTGCACAGATTTAAAAAGAGGCATTTAAGACTGAAACACACACTTACACACACAAACTGTCAATTACATGAAAATATTGCCTTCCGTGATGGCACATGCTCCATGCAATTATTCAATTTGTTTGGTCTGCAGATCACTGCTGCACAGAAGACATGGGGCACTCAGCTGAATCTGCCACATCTCCACTCCTCTGCCCTTGAGACAGAGAAAGAGAGGGACAGAGAGAGGATGGTGAAGAAGGCAGATCAAGTGAAAGAGAGGTATATCAGTTTGCAGCCAATAAACAACATAAAGGTGCAGTATATTTTAACTATATCATTCAATTGTGCAATTGTTACTGCCCTGATACAGTTTACCGAAAGCACTAAACTACCCCGCTCAATTAAGACCTGTATTAAATTAGCACATCAAATCATTTAGAGACAGCAGAGTTTTTTGTGTTGTTGCGTAGCTTGACTAATTGACTGATTGGCAGGTTCATTTTTCATCATTTTGAAACAGGGGCCCTCAGTGTGACACCTCTGGTAGAAATGTGCTGCCCATTAATGAACATGTGTTACTGTATTTTATTATTATTTGTGACTGGGAGAGGAGACTGTCCTCTCAAGAGGAATGACAACATCGGCACTCGCTGTAATGTCATATCTTTATGTTAAAATGACAAAGCCTTCTAGTGGCAATTAGAATTATCAGGGGGGCAAAAGAGGAAGTCAGGTGATGGTATTATAGCGTAACAAAGCCAACTAGGAAATCATCAGACTTTAACATGGGAGACTGCTGTTTATTCCCACCTTGAAAGAACGTACTTTAACCTAAACTATAATTTTCCCCTCATTTTAACCAACCATAATCAATCTAGAAGGCATGGACAAAAAACATATTCAGCATAATATGAAGGGCATGTTAGAGATGGGATCGTGCCTGTCCTGGGCCTGTCTTTTGTGAGAACTGACTATGGGCTGCACCGTGTTCTTTTATGAAGAATAATCGGAGTCAATTATCACCTTTCAAACATCTATTATAATTATCATAACTGAACAGACCATCGAATAAAGCAATTTACAGAGCTCTGGGTTCCGTCTCTATCTGAAGCCCTGACCTCAACACCAACAGGGCTGACATGGTCAATAGCCATTGTTTGAAACTTGGAAAACAAAACAAAACAAAAGATTACATAATAAAACTTCCCTACTGCAATAGCCCTATGGGAAGTTTGCAGCATTAATATCACGTAAAAGGCTCTTTATAATGCAAAACTAATGTGCAACAAGGTATAAAACAAACTGTGATTTTATGTGTGCTAAATAGGTGCAAAACAATTTGAACTTAATTAAACAAAAATGCATGAAAGACAAAATCTCTTCCCTTGGTACTCTACTGAAAAGAATCTGTGTAAGTGTTTACATGAGGTGTTACAGAAAGCCACTGATCCAACTCATGCTAGTACTTGGGAAAATGCACTCATGCCTCGAGTATGTATCGTACACAAATGCACAGGCTCATTTTGAATGTAAACCCACAGCTTAAAGATACGTCTGGGTATATGGAGAGACCTGTGACACATCTGTTTAGAGCTGGATTTACAATGAGACCAGCAACAGGAAAGCAAGGCGGTCCAGTTTGAACACCACAGGCTTGAACACATTTGTGCTTCTGCCTCATTTTGGCTTGTGTAGCCTGGTTTGAACTCAATATCAAGTTTCTGCGTACTTCCAATTTTTCTTTGGCTTGGTTAAGTTTGACATCGCCAGTCAGCCAGTCAAAATATCTAATTTGTCCATCTAAGTCTGTTTTATAAGCACTGATTTTACCCAGTCAAGCCAAACTAACATAACACTACTGTGATTTAGGCTCAGTCAAAGCTCATGGATAATATGAAAAAACATCAAACAAAATGCTCTAGGATCAAATGTGTCATTTACTGCTTTTCATGAGGGCAATGTTCTCATTTCAAAAGAACCACTAACATTTTTACTTGAGATAGTCAAGGCCTCATGTCCCATGTTTAATGGTTCAAATGCGTTTGTTTAGATTTTTCTAAAATTTCCAAGCAAAAGAGGGAAAACCATCTCCGCAAAAGGGGTTGATTGACTTACACTCTCCTAGAAGCAAACCTATTTATCATCCTGCGGGTCTTATCTTTACTGTGTGTCAACCATATCACATGCTCTGCTATGCAGTCTTTCACTCTGAAATCATTTGGTGTAGAAGTTTTTATTGCACATTCTGTATGGTATAAGTCTTTTCTACATGTCATCTGGTATATATATAGCTTTTTGTTTTAATAGTCTTTATTTATGGTTCTGACACCCTTTGCTAATGACTAAATTGAAGCCAGAGCTGCATTTCACAGAAAGTCACTGCAAAATCTAAGCATAAAGAAGAGCACAGTGCTGTATGCAAGGTAAATGTAATCATTCATTAACATAGCATATGTTGCAATGTAGACATGTCACTCTGAAATTATTTTTCCTTGTATCACCTGTGAGCACTCTGCAAATCACATTTTGCCATCTGTACACCTTCCCAGTGTCATTTCTCTAACACAGTGTCTCCTCTGTCACCTAGGTTGCGTCGTCCCACTGACACCCAAATGTTTGCTCGAAGACACCTTAGTATCACCTGTTCGTTTGACATGTCTGTGGCACAGCTTGGTGTCTTGTGTCACTGCAGAAAGAAGATGGGGTGGAAAACTCTTTCCTCCTTCCTTTTGTTTCTCTGTGCCTTGCAAGACTCTGTCCTCCACCTCCCCCCACTGTCCATCTGTTCATCTCTCAGCAGAGCAGGGTGAGGAGGAGGTGAGACATGCATAAGCAGGCACACAGACACTTACTTTGGCTGTAAATACAAACTCCCTGCTACACACACACACACACTCAAATGATCTGGCTGGTTTTCATCTTAATATAAAATATACATATTAAATACATATTTATTATTGTAAAATCATGTAAAAACGATTTGTTTAACCCAATTATTCACACATTTTACGGATATATACCAAATGGCAACCTCTGAGGCTGAGGAAATATTAAAACCTGCAGTTCCTCAAATGGCCACTTGAGGCTGGCTCCAATAGGGAGTCAATCCCCGTAGCCTCCCATGTCAAAATGTCCAACTTTACTGCAGAAATAAACATGTTTGTAGCCTGGATTGTAGCTGCTAGGTGTCTAGTGAGCTCCACTCATGCTCTGCACCTCTTTGGCTATTTTTCGAGTTAGGCGGAGTGAAGTGCTACCAAGAAGGCCATGGCCAGACTTGAGCTTCAAAACCACTCTTCAAAAAACCATTGGGTGATGTCACGCAGCGCTTATCCATCTTTTATATACAGTCTGTGGTATATACACAGCAAAGGATGATGAGGATGGTAATCATGACTCTTAGGAACTTCCAGGCCCATGCTTTTATTTTGACAATCTCCTGTTGCCTCATCCCAGTTTCTTTTGTCCCAGCTTCACTACTTCCATTACAAGCCTAGATTACACACACCTGTTTCCTATAGGCATCTCCCTCGCCTGGCCCCTTATTATCACGCCCCCACTCCTCAGCTCTTTGTCAGAATGTTTTGTCTTCCATGCCTCTGACATAGGCTCTGGTCAGGGGTTTCACCCTGGTTTTCATCCATCAAGTAGTCACTGTCTTTGCTCCAGCACTCTTTGTGAGCGTCTGTCTCAGCACTTTTCTGCTTCAACTGTGGGGGAACTGTTTTTGTCAAAGAGAGACTCTCTTTATCTTTGCACATGCTCCAAACTCATGAATTAACACAGACCTCACTTACCTGTGCTCATACCCACAACCCCTGAACCAAGTGAGACCATGAGTCCAAACTTATATCTACTAATGCAAGCACAGGTTTTCTCACTTGTGTTCATGGTTATTACCTTTCAGTGGTCACTGTATACCACATTTGTCTTTTTGTTAGGAACCTTCTAGTCCACAGTATGTGCCTTTGGCTGCAACACACAACATTAATAAGCACAGGCACCAAGAACATATATATCTAGACATATAAGTCATCACATTTTGAAGGGGTTGGGTATAAAGAGACATACAACAGGAACACATGTAGCATTTAGCAGCTCTGACTTGTTTTACACATTTGTGAAAGGTGATGTTACATGTGATGATGCAACACTAATTGGATTTAGTAATTTCACACTGGTGGGAATTTTTCCCCTGAGAGTGGCGTTACCATGGTGATAAAGCAGCGCCCTTTGCACTGTGACCCCTGCCCTTTGCTGCCCTTGAGAGTGCATGTGCCATGTGCCATCAGCAATGCAAAAAGGACCCCCCCCCCAGCAGTACCAAGAGAGTTCCCCTGATGAAAATGGATGGTGCTGAGAGAGTGTGCATTTAACTGTGTGTGCACTTTCCTGCATTTATTTTTTAATATAGGGATGTCAATGTGCGCACGTGCATGAACACGCACAGTTGCAAACACACACGGTAAAAAAGGGAAAGGAAATGCTAATATTTGATCATATGACAGGTGCTTTAATCTGCGAGTCTGCAGTCAGGCAGACGAGTACGTTCTTTGTAGAATGAGATTCTCATTTCCTTAGCACACAATTGTTTCCCCTCCCACTGTGTTTCTCTCTGGCTTTCTGTCAGTAGGGCCAGGAGTCATATACACTGTGTCACTCTACTCACAGCACATACTGTGTGTAATTTGAGCACAAATCACGAAAAATACTGTTTTTTCAACATCTAAGTTAAGCACAGAAGCTGAGATATCCTACCAAGAAGGCAATCTTAATCACTGGCTTATGAATACCATCATGGCTGATAAGGATACTGTCATCCAGAAAAACTCAAGTTATACCAAAAAGAAAGTGTGTGCTATAAGATGAAGCTGATCACTGCTTTGAACAATTATTATGATTTAGAGCTGCCCATTTAGTGTAGATCTTTTTGGACTGATTTAGTGCCACAGATGTAGCAGAACCCGAGTCTCCCTCACAGTAAAATGACACAATATATTAAACAAGTGATAAGAAATGTCATTTAGACGGTGTTTGTCAGTAATTTGTGATGATTATATTTAATACAGGAAAAAACAAAAACAGAAATGTCAAAACTATATGGATGGTGAATTGTTTTCTATGATCGTTTATATCTATTAGTATCTGTAATTTAAAATGATGTAATTCTCAAATAAATAATTTGGTTCAACACTGTCTTTATAAACTAGTTGCAGCACAAGCACATCAGACAGCATTTGCCCTGTTTTGCAACTTGATATTGCACTTTATTTGTTGTAAAGGCCTTTGATTTGGAAAAAGTAAGACATTAAAAGAAAACACTAGCACTAAAAACAGTATGCACAAAAAGAAAATGGATAAAAGTCTTGCATAAAAGAAATGAAGATAAAATAGAAAACAAAAGAAAACACTGATGAGCTCCATTAAAAAAAGTCTTCTAATAAAAGTTCACAACTTATTGTGCTGAACTTTCTTTGCAGAGAAACAAATAGATGCTTGATTATTCTTCCAAAATTCCACCTAATTGCACTGAAGTCTATGTTTTTCCAGGTAGTTTTGTTAGTAGGCCATATATAGGTTGAAGTTGAGGTTATAGGGATTAAAATAATGAGAACATTCCAATATAAATGATAACTGCCTTTAAATAAATAAATAAATAACTGCATTTACGTTTCAGATCTGTCCATTACTGCACATATTTGTAAAATACACCTCACTATATGACCATAAAAAGTGTATTTGCAATAATAAAGAACTGCACTGTGCATCTTGTTTTCTAGCACAAGCAATACAATATAATAAAGAAGTATAATAACCACCTGGAATGTAGCTTTATAATTTGTTTGTTTACTTCCATATTGTAATTTCCTTGTATGTTTGCAGATTTTGAAAGAGAAATTGATTAAGAGAGAAAATATAGTTCATATGAGTTTTTGTGTTTATCTGTCCACTAGCTGGTAAACAATCACCGGCCACTCCTAATTTTGTTGTCAAACACACACACTCATGGAAATGGCCTGCATGTGCACACAGTGAGCACACACCACTCGACCGATCCTGCTATGGCACTAGCTGGAAGTGTGTGTATAATAAGTGTGAAAAATCTCATTAATGCAGTGCTGCTGCTGAGCTGCGGCTGCTGGTAAGTCGCTTGTATTGTCACTTGTCTCCAGGGCCCCCGGGTGCTAGCTAGCTAACTAGCATCATCGCTATGGAGACCCCGGCAGCTATGCCTCCCCACTCATCCTCAGCGCTCTCACCATTACAGTGTGTATACACACACACACACACACACCTTCACTCTCCTCCTCCCGCCTTGCCTCTCTCTCCCTTTTTGTCCTCTGACAAAACTTGACAAACCACATGTGACTTGGAGGGCTTAGCACAGGGGAACTGTCAACGTACCCCCTCTCCAATTCACACACAGTCTCTGCTCGCGCACCAGCTCAGTGTGTGTACACACACACACACACACACACACACACACACACACACACACACCTTCACTCTCCTCCTCCCTCCTTGCCTCTCTCTCCCTTTTTGTCCTCTGACAAAACTTGACAAACCACATGTGACTTGGAGGGCTTAGCACAGGGGAACTGTCAACGTACCCCCTCTCCAATTCACACACAGTTCAAACTCTAAGCAGCCATATTGATTTTTAATGATGCCAAGCAGTGGAAGGCCCTCTCTGCTGTGGGGATGGAGAGGAGGATGGAGGGACGAAAATCAAGAGGAATGGTTGAGCAGCGTCACTTTTCTTTACTATGACAAAGAATTATTTATAACCTATTTGTTTTTTAAATATTTCACATATCACATTTTTTCATCAAGAAAAACAAGAAGATGATTTTTTTTTTTAAATCGATGCCAGATAAGGTTATTCAGAATACAAAATACAATTTTCAGCATTTACACTATTAAATGTAAAGCATTGGTTGTCTGAGCCAGGAAATATTAGTTTATTTGATGTTAAATCACATACATTTACAATCAATCAAATTAAATATATAAAATAAATACACAATTAAAACATGGCGGAAATGTCTTCCAATCATTCCTGTAATCTACAAATCAACTTTTTATTATTTTTTTTATCTTGTGGTTTTCTTTTTGCTGACTTAAAAGAGTTTTGGAAGCTCAGACTGAACAAGATGCAGCCAAGTTTAACATGCACTAAAGACATAGCTGGCTACACATATGGGGATGATTTCATATGTAGATCAAAGTGTCACTACAGCTAATTAATCTACAGCAATGTTAATTAATCAACCTAATCTGAGGCTTTAGAGACCACCCTCTATTCACTGTGACTGTATGAGATGGGGAGACTGTACACATGGAATATTGTAAGAAATCAAACAATCAAACAAAATCATCTGCTTTGACTTTTAAATGCTAATAAGTGTAACTTAAGAGAGAGAATGAAACAAGAGAGAAAGAGAAAAAACCAGTGAGTGAGCATATAGAAAGAGAAAAAACACTTTCTTAAAAAAAAAAGAGATGGGGGGAAATGATTAACCTCTGAGACATCTACCTAATTAATTCTGTCAGTACTTTAAATGAAGTGAGCAACCTTGAAGTGGTCGCTGGTCAGTGGAACTCATGTAAAATGTATGTCATCCTACATTACCAGGCGCAGAACAAGAGCTACAGCTGCTTAAAATAATGACACATGTAATCTTTATTCAACTTGAACCCTCAGGGCATATGGCTCTGTTGTAGACATGGAAACAGCTAAACCTTCAGTCCAAAGCTAAAGCTAAATAAACTGACAGGCTATTGACACAAGTGGGAGCCTATAAACCCATGTTTGCATGTAATTATGAATGTTTATGTTTGTATTAATGATGTACTAACATAGAATTCAGGGGTTTGCAAAGGTGATTCGGGTTTTCTATGTTGCAGATGCATGTGTTGAACTATGGAAAACTGTTTCAGCATCAAGAACTTTTTGTATACAGCTGGTCACAATATTCTGATGCAATACACTGTTAGAGAGTTTGGAATATAAAAAGGTGAGAGCTGTGTCAGTTGTGTTTGTACACCTTGATGACTCTGGCTTGGGTAATGGGGACTTGACTCAGACTCGACTCAAATTTAGCTTGGACTTGTCTCAGACTCAAGCACCGAGGACTCGAGACTTGACTTGGACTCAAGGTTTAGTGACTCATCTACAACATTGCACCATGCTTCACCATAGAGATGGAATTACCCAGGTGAAGAACAGTGCCTGTGTTTGCCAGACATACTGCTTGGAGTCCTACCAAAAGTTCAGTTTTTGGTCTCAGACCAACAGGGTTCTTGGCCACCTCCAGAGCCTGAGGCCCTTCGTGCTCAGTTTGGACGGATGGTATTTTCAAACGTCTTCCATTCCACAGTTATTGAGGTCACTGTGGAACAGTCAAAGCTTTAGAAGTGGTTTTCTGCCCTTGCCCTGATCTACTGTATGCCTCACCACAATTTTATCACAAAGGTCTGCAGAGAGTTCCTTGGACTCCATGGCTTGGTTGTTGTCCTGACATGGAGTGTGAGTTGTGAAACCTCTTACAGTACATGTGGGTGTGTGTCTTTCTAAACTACACTCGGTCAGTTCAGTTTGCCACATATACACTCCAAACAAACTCTGTAAACATCATAATTAATTAAACAAACAGGATGCACCTGATCATAATCTGAGTGCTACAGCAAAGAGTCTGAATATGTTTGTAAATTAAAAGTGAGAGATTTTAAAACACTAACAGTTTATTAAAACATTTCTAAAAAAATGTTTTCACTTTGCCATTAGGGTGAATGAGTGTAGACTGATATGTCATAAAATCTCTGATTCCCCTGGT